TCCCGTTAAACATGTTTTTTGGGGGGGGGGGTTTTGGTGATTTTGTTTCCTTTCTAGAATAAATATATTATGCCACATAACATACATGTACATCAAAGCCATGAATAAAATCTGTATTTTTGTTTAGCGTACTTCAGGTACTGAGTGTTTTCTCTCATGTGTGATGACTTGATGAATGTTACTTTTTTTGTGGTTAACAGATTTATCTTGGTTTTGTGATGTCTCAAGAAACATGCTTCACAAGATGGGTTTTCTTTGCAATTCAGTAACGTACGTCATCAATTTATCTTAATACAGTAATACAGTGAAGCAGTTCAATAGTGGAACAGTATTGGTGGGTGGGTGGTTGGAGGGTGCTCTGGTGTGGTTTGCTCCTTCTGTCCTTTCAAACACCTATCATCCGTATCTCCCCTCTTTTTGTTTTGTTTGTTACTCTCTTGTAACACGTCTAATCTTCGGCACCTATTATATGACCTATTGAGTTGCAAGTGCCGAAAAACTCTTACGAAAATTAAAAGAAGCATACTTCATAAGATGGGTTTTCTCCCTAATCATAAAAATCTATCATCAATTTATCTTAAGTCTTAGTTAATAATATATGGGGAACCAGTTCAATAGTGGAACAGCATCCGAGGGTGGTTGGCGGGTGCTCTGGTGTGGTTTGCTCCTTTCCTATCAAACATCTATCATCATTCCTTATCTCCCCTCTTCAACTATCAACAAGTTCCAACAAGGCACTCCGGAAATAGCAGTTTACAAGAGAGTGACACTCAAAAACATACAAAAGATGTAGAGAAAAAATGACGATAGCAAAGGATGAGGAAAGAAAAGGCAGCAGTTCCCCCTATGTTGTTCCGGCACAGTATGAGCATGACATTGATAAATCAGCCCATTGACAATTCTACTGTGCATAAGAACATGTTCGCTGGTGGTCACCCTGTCTGATCGAGCTCGGTCAGGTAAACGTTGTCTTCTCCTGGCACTAGCTTGCACACACCCCAACCTCTGGCCACTCATCTGTAGGTTATGTTCACTCCAGACACAGACACTGCTGAACAGACTTGTAAGACACCACCCCCCCCCCCCCCCCCCCCCCCGGGGCAGTGCCACTGACTGTAGTGTCTTTATGCCATTCCCAAAGGGGGGATATTTCTCGTTCAAGCACAGTAGAATTATAAATGGGCTGATTCATCATGTGACGCTCATAACTGCGCCTGATCTACAACAGGGAACTGCTGCTTTTTCTTTCCTAATCCTTACTATTGTCATTCCTCTACTTCGTTTGTATGTTTGTCACTCTCTTGTGACCTGCTATTTCCGGTGTGCCTTGATAGTCGAAGCAGACTTTGTGCTGTTGAGGAAGCTAGAGAGGTGAGCAGAGTAAGTCTGATCCCTGTAAATACTTCTCTGTTGACATCCACCCCTTGGCGTTCATATGACCTTATGCAGTTGCGAGTGCCTTAAAACCTCTACTAAATTATTTTTTTTTAAAGACTAGTAAGAACAGTATTGACCAGCCTCACCGCTCCGCCACTGTCCCCTCCCCCTGTCCATTACGTTCAATTGTATGCGATGTGAGAGAATGAGAAGAAACTTTTGAATGTGTGATGTGTGTGCGAGTAACAAACAAAAAACGACAGTTTGCCTGAAGTGTCCTTTTGTGAAGCACGGAACGATGATAAATATTTTTAAAAAGAAAAGAAAATAGCGGGTGGCGGGGGAAGGAAAAATTGCAAAAGATGATATAGTGACAAGAGGGCACGTGTTATTTACTTGTCTTACTTGTCCACTGTGTTGGGGTCACTGCAGTCGGAACATGTCCATCTCTGCTCCCCCCCCCCCCCCCCCCCTCTTCGGGATCCATCCCAGAGCCTGTCTGCTTATAGTACCCATCATAATGTGGTTTTAGATCCGTCGGACTGGTCCGCACAGGTGGCTGTGTTTCCCCTCTCCTCTTTGGATCCCCTTCTCCTTCAATCTACCTAGAGTGCGGGAACCGCTATCCGCCCTATTCTTCCTCAAATTTTCGCTGACAGCGGTTAGGACGGTTTGTTGGGTCCAGTGTCAAATTCCCTCCCACTTTTGCTTCTCCAGCCAGCTTGTCTGCTCTCTCGTGGGGTACGTGTTATTATACAACAATGTAATAACACGTCTTGTGATTCTTAAGGGAATGTAATAAATATACAAAAATAAGCTTAGGCCTATACTTTGGACAGCGGAAACATCACAAGACAGTCGCAGCAGTGGAACCCACAGGGAGCACGAGAAACATAATATGGAGGAGATGTGTGGAAAGGGACATGAGAGAGATGAAGCTCACTTGGAACGAGCTAGGAAGGATGGCTTAGGACAAATAAATTGAAGGAGCTTGTATGTGGCCTATACCCAGCCAGGAGTGAAAGGCACTGATGATACACTTTGGACGATATGACCGTATATGACTTACGGTATATAACACTCTACATCAAATACTCTGACGCAATATAATCCTACTTCACAACAGAGCGCACCATAATTTGAGCTAATAAATATGAGCTAGATAGATCTGTCCCCGTGGTTTTATGCACCCCGCATAATTTAACAAAATTTGATCATTTTTTTGCATAATTTCTGATTATTTTCCTTCATCATTCTTTGTTAAAATTAACAGAATCTCATAATTTCACATTTTTGGGCTCAGTTTGCATAATTTCAGAATTTTTCTTGCATAAAACGACGGGGACAGATTGACAAGGGCTTGGGGGAGAGTCCCGCTGTCGATCGCACAGTCAACAAGAGCAAGACTGGTGTTTTGTCTTTATTTTGGCGTTTTGGTGCGGCAATAGAGTTATGTTTTATGTGGGTGGTTGACGGATAATATGCTCTGGTGTGGTTTGCTTCTTCTTTCCTATCAAACATCTATCGTCCGTATCTTCCCTTCTTCTTTTTTATGTTTGTTACTCTCTTGCAGAATTTATATGTGCTCTCCTGTAACACCTCTAATCTTCTGGTGCTCATATGACCTTATGCAGATGCGAGCGCCGTAAAATCTCTACTAAAACAAGAGTTATATATCTCCTTTAGAATGGTAGTGTAAATCTGCCCATAATGTGCACGCTTCGCAGCAAAGTTTTTATAGAGAGAAGGCATCTCCTCTAAGGATACATGCCACACACCCCATGCCAGTCTTTCGAAGGTTTTTCTGAAGTCTATGATCTTTGAAATTAATTATGAAAATAGTTCTCTCTGGTGTTTTTCTCTATGAGGATTCTACAGTTGAAGAGTTTGTGCATGGGTGGTTGGCGGGTGCTCGGGTGTGGTTTGCTTCTTCTTTCCTATCAAACATTTATCGTCCTAATCTCTCAACCTCCTTCTTTTATGTGTTAATTACTCGCGTGTAACACCTCTAATCTTCGGTACTTATATTAACTTATTGTGTTGCAAGTGCTCTTACTAAAACAAATTAAAACAAATTTTATGTGTTGTACTGTATTCCGGCCTGGTCTGAAGCGTGGTCTGGAGTATACCTCCACGCCTCCCCCCC